TATATATATATATATATATTATAAATACAATAGGATATATATATAGGGTTATATTTTTATATTAGTTGTATATACTACGTTATACATATTTTGTTATGTTTTTAAGTATATACTAAAAATATAAATGAAACAAACACAAATAATGCTTATTTAATTTAATTTTTTCCATTTTTTAATGCTTATTTAGATTTTTTTTATTTTTTATCTTTGTATAATTAAATGGAATTTTTGACAGTGCTTTATTTATTCCTTATTTTATATTTAAATACACTATTTATTTTCTTAAACTTTTTTGTGTATTATATTTTTATAGTATTAATATATTACATACTACATATATATTCTTTAATTATAATTATATTTGAATTATATATTTTATATTTTAAGTTATTTAATTGTATATTTTAATGGATTTTTACATTTTTGACAAGTTTTTTACTTATATATTATATATATATTTACATACACTTTTATATTACTGTGTCTATCTATATATCTATATATATATATATGTATAGTACTGTATTCCTTTATATAATTTTAAATATAAACTGAATGCATTTTTGATTACATTTTTTAATTATTATATGTAGATATATACTACTTTGAATTCATGATTTTTATTCGATTATTATTTACACAATACAAAATTGCAATGTAAAGACACAATCATCATGTTTCCCTTGAACATGAGTGTTATTTTATAACATTGCTGTATTTAATTGCATGAGGAGTGTTATGTTCTAATGCGTTATTGATTGCGTAGATGCACCAGGAGATCGGAGTGCAGTCGCGCGGAGGAAAAGAACGGTTGGCTGTGGAGTCCAAACCAACAGTGTGTGAAAATCGTCTCTTTCCACCCGCCAAATCTCAGCTGCTTGAAGTCCCAGCAGGTACCAGGCTGAGTGTCGCGGACACAATTACCAGAGTCTTATTTTTAAACCAGACTGCTCAGCGCTGATTATGAGAAAAGCTGAGCATGTCTCCCACACAACGAGGCCATATTGGTGAACAGACGGTGAAAACACAATGGGCGCTGATGGCGTGTTTAGAATGCTGTTATAAAGGTGCTGTCGTTGTGTTTTGCGCTTCAATACGTTCTCTGATTACGCGATGTGTGTATTTAGAGGACGCTTATAGCTGTTTCCTTGAGAGAAATGTTTAAAAGTTGTTATTTGTTCAAGTACATTCTTATTAAATCTTAATTATTCATTAATTATTCATATAGCCTGGCGGTTCCACCTAAACATGATGAATCTCATCGTAAATCCATAAATTTTGCATTGAATTACATGGAACAAACCCAAACCAGTCATCTCCTTGTAATCTGTATTAGGCTTGCCGCGATAGACGGTGCTGATGGTGATACCGGTGTTAAGCCGCAACACCGGTTACGTCACTTGCCCACCGCGGCACCGACCCCCACCGTCGTTTTGATTTTTTATAGTAATAAAAATAATTTAGTTCAGTTAAAGAACAGACACTACAATTAAAAACTGAACGCGGCTGCTCAATGCAGCGTGCCGAACGACAGTCGCATCACAGATCAGATTTCATTTCTCCAGTGAGGAGAGTGAGTCGAGCTGACAGACAAGAAGAGTGAGGTGAAACAGACAAGAAGAGTGAGGTGAAACGGACAAGAAGAGTGAGGTGAGACGGACAAGAATAGTGAGGGGTGAGACGGACAAGAAGAGTGGGGTGAGACGGACAAGAAGAGTGAGGTGAGACGGACAAGAAGAGTGAGGTGAGACAGACAAGAAGAGTGAGGTGAGACAGACAAGAAGAGTGAAACGAAATTCAAAAGCACCAGTATTTTGGATTTTGAAAAGCCTGTTGACTTTTCCCGTTTATCTAAGGTGATTTTGGAAGTTTTTTTAAACATTCGTTTTGTAAGTTATTTGTTATTTTATATTAGGCATAGCCTGCCCTATAACATGGTGTATTTTTATTCGTTTTGTTAATAAAAGTTCTATGTTTTATATATAGGCTAAAGTGAGTTAGACGTTGTATTTTGTTATTGCATTCAAGCAATTGATGCCGAATTGCCACTATTTGAAAGTGAAAGTAAAATGCGCACGCCGCTTTTACAAGCTATTTAAAAGCAAAGGAAAGCGAGGAAAGAGGGAGCACCCCCGCCCCCGCGGTGATACCGGTATTATCCGTGTTGTCACACGTCGAATAACCGGTGGGAAAATTTCCTCACCGTCACAACCCTAATCTGTATACAGTATATGTAGTAGTTTCAAAGATTCCTGATTGAAATTACGGATTGTTTTGCTCCTTTCTCTCATATCATTACAAGTGTGTGAGTTCAGAGTTTGTAAAATGTCCCTCAGGTTGAGATAAACGTCCGATCGCTGCCGATCCTCAGAGATTCAGACCGGATCCTCTGCGCCTTCGGCTCTTATCAGAGCAACGGCAGGATGGTGGACGGCCAAATCAGTTGCCGCTTACCTGAGCTGCATCTTATACCGCTGACACCTGCACACCAAGGTACGTCACTCACAACACAGGACACGTCATATGTGTGTCAGACTCTCTGAAATGTTGACTATGTTACTGAATGCACTGTTTATAAGTACCCTAGCCCTAATGAAGGGCTGTCTGTTCCTGAAAGCTTCTCATTTTATGTCTCAGCTGAATTATTAATTATTTTGAATTACATTTGAATTGACTATTTTCATTAAATTATTTAATAAATAATTTAAAATATATATTTTATTAACTATTTTATTTATTGTTTGTCTACATGTAGCAATCCAGTTATGTTCTAGAATTATGTAGCATTTAAAGCAATAGTTTACGTTTAATTTAATGAGTAATTAAAGATTTTCTATTATTATTTGCATTTATAATAAATAATGCATGTTATTATAATTTTATTAGAATTAATGAAAGGAATAATGTATTGTTCATAATAAATAAATTGTAATATTCATCTTATTATTTTTGTTTTAATGTTTTATTCATTTATTTTTTAAAACAACTGTTATTATTAATATTATTAGAATTCATATAATGTAGCAGTCCAGTTCTTAAAATGGTCCAGAATGATGTGGCGTTATAGCAATAGTCCAAATTAAATAATTAAAGTAGTATTTTATTTCATGTTTTCTTTTATTTGTAATAAAAAATGTATTTTATTTTATTATAAATGTCATTTATAAATACAAGAAAATTGTAAAAAATAAAAATAATACTAATAATAAAAAAAATTGTTATATTAAAGTAAAATTTGTATTAATTATTTTATTTATTTTATGATTTGCATGCTATTTCAAACGTATATTTTGTTGTTATTATTGTGAAACCCAAAAGGAGAAATTTCACACCGTGCGACCACATCTGTCCAAGCTACAAAAAGGGCAAAAAAATTTATTTAAAAAATCACCATAAAAGAAGACAGTCTGACTAATCTTCTCCTCCATTAGCTGTTAATTTGAAACCAACCTGTCTAATTTGTGAACGAATTGTTCTTTTGAGTTGATTCTTTCCACTGAATCGCTTGATTTGGTTAAACAATCGGACCGATCCAATTCAACTCATTATGACTTTGAAATATAGCTCATATAGTCTACTTTATGTCCACTTATAACGTTCATCAAGGTTTCTTGCTTCAAAAACAGTCCCTTACTGTCCTTTAAGACTGTTTTTCTACTGTATCTTTAAGACTTTGATGCTGTGATTTGCTAACCTTCTCCTGACCCTATCTGTGTATTTTTTTTGTAGATTTCGTGGCGGTTCCAGTCCAAATCTTTGTGAACGGTAGCGTGCAGTTCGCGTCCAGCGAGTACAAGTTCTACAACTGCGCAGCGGCAATCCGGAAAGCAGAAAATACACCGTACGTTTGCTGTCTGGGCTTCTATTGTCAGCACTTTATGCTGACAACACTGTGTGTTTAATGAATACAAGCATCTGTAACGATGAGGTTTACTCATAAATTGTAACGCATCACTGAAGCTGGAATTGAATTTGATTCTATAGAGACTTGCTTACGTTTTGTTTTTTTTCCCTCCAAGGGCAGGAAATTGCTTTCGTTTCTCATTCATTCATCACACATGAAAGTCGATCTCTCATCTCTTTTTTCCCCTTCTCCTTGTGTTTTAAGAGCTCTGGGACTTTGCTGATGAATGAGTATTATTTGAAGTGCGCCGGGACTATATGCTTTTACTCCAAACATTTACACACTGATGAAAAATGTAACTAGAACTCTGATTTGAACCTCTGCCGTCCTCTGCTTTAATCGCTCGCGTGTTTCTCCGCAGATGCACTTCCTGTGTAAGCAGCGCTTGGGGATGTCAGTGGAACATTGCGGCGCACACCTGCACGGATCTGAGCGATGCGGAAACCGGCGCCAATATAATCAAACACAGACAGGTACTGAACAGAGAACCAATGAGAGTTAATACAGTCTGTTAACTCTCACTTAGTACACATATACTAACGTCAGAATTATTTACATTTATTTTATTATTTTAATTTTAATTTTTTGTAAAGAAGTTGGTACTTTTATTCAGCATGGATGCATTAAATTAATCAAAAGTGAAAGTAAAGACTTTTATAATGTTACATTATAATGTTCTCTTCTGTTGAACCTTGTATTCATCAAATAATTCTGAAAAAAAGGAAATTCAACATATTTAAAAAAGTCATTTTAAATTGAAATAATAATTTATAATGTTCCAGTTTTAACTGTATTTTTGATCAAATAAATGCAGCTTGAGTGTAAGAGACTTCAGAAACAAACAAAATAAATAATACCAACCCCTAACTTTTTACTGGTAGTATACGACACCAAAACATCATAAAATGAGTTTGAAGCATCATATTAAAATCGAAAAATCAACATGAAATGGTGTTCACAACCGTTTTACTTCCATAATCAGATGTATTTCACAGAGAAACAAGGATATTCATTGAAAAAAGTGGGATTAGTTACTTGAATAGAATTTTTGAAGGGAAACACAAAAATGTACCTCCTCACCATCCTTGAGTTGTTTGAACAATTATTGGCTATTTTCCCTGCCATTGTCGTCCTAATGATGTCATCTGTAATGGAAAATAATTTATTAATGCACTTGATAACTTTTAAAGGAATCGTTCACCCAAAAAATTTAAAATTTGCTGTAAATGTGCTCACCTTCAAGCCATCCAAGATGTAGATGAGTTTGTTTCTTCATCAGAACAGATTTGGAGGAATGTAGCATTACATCACTTGCTCACCAGTGGATCCTCTGCAGTGAATGGGTGCCGTCAGAATGAGAGTCCAACCAGCTGATAAAAACATCACAGTAATCTACACCACACCAGTCCATCAGTTAATGTCTTGAAAAGTGAAAAAGTGCATTTGTAAGAAACAAACCCATAATTAAGAAATGTTTAACTTCAAACTGTTGCTTCCGGCTAATATACGATTCCATAATAATCCATAATATTGCTTAAAGTCATCTCATCTGAATCAGGAGGGAAGTATGCTCAGATTAAGCACCGTTTACAAGTGAAAACAGTTCTAAACCGTTCTAAACAATGGGCTCGTATTTTAAATTTTAAAGAGTTGTTTCTTATAAACACAGATATGTCTTTATATTTCACAAGACGCTAATTGATGGACTGGAGTGGTGTGGATTACTTGTGATGTTTTTATCAGCTGTTTGGACTCTCATTCTGACGGCACCCATTCACTGCAGAGGATCTAGTGATGTAATGCTACATTTCTCCAAATCTGTTCCCATGAAGAAACAGACTCATCTACATCTCAGGTGGTCTGAGGGTGAGCACATTTTCAGCATTTTTTTTTCATTTTTGGGTGAACTGTTCCTTTAATACCAGGAATGTATATTAGGCAAATAAAGACATTTTCTGACTTTCATTCTAACCTTCGACGGCGAGTGTTTTAGCAGTCTTGCAGATGAGGAAATGGGCTAAAAATGACACGTATGAAAAAGCACACATCGAGTAAACGTCTCGGTGATGTATGTCTGCTATCAGCACCATTGATTTGGGCCACTTTGATTAGTTTCATGTGCTTCTTGTTTTCAAGCACCAAATCCAACTGGTCTAGATATTTAATTTATTTATTTTCTTAAAACCATTTCTTGAAGCACACAGCTGAATCATTGTCGATATCCAATGCCAGCAATTTCAGAAATGGCCTCCACACTGTTTGATATTTGCTGCTTCCTGGAACAGCTACACATGACTGATGAAATGGACACAAAGTAAATGACTTTAATGCAAAACACATTAGCTGAATCGGCAAAATAAAATTAAAAAAATGGATGGGAAAAATGGATTATATGCAATTAGCCACAGTCGCCAATGTCAGTGAGGATATATTAGATTTCAGCTGTAAATAAACGGTTTTATTCATACACATCATCATAGTTAATGAGTTTTTCGGTTTCAATGGATGTTCATTAATTTAAGTCAGATGTGAATGTAAAATCACTCAGAAAATAGCCATAGATTAGTGTGGACTTCAGCAGACTCAGCTTTCCTGAGTTCTCCGTCCTCCCTGGGTTCTAGAACAAGAGCTGTCCGCGGTTCGAGAACCCAGATCCTGTCCTTATCCCGGTCGGATACAAAACCCGGATCAGTTTTGAGGGCATCAATCTGGACCCGTACAAGGTGAGTTCAATCAGTCTTGGTTTAAAGGATGTTTAATGGTGTTAATGTTTTCTGGACAGCAAGCGAAAAACACTAATTGAGAAAATGCTTTTTCCCAGTGCACTTAGAATGCATTTGTAATCCATTATAAATCATAATTCACTTTCCTCTAAACAGATCTGTCCGAATTTGACTTTCTTCAAATTTTTCTTTTTTTTTTTTTTCTTCAAATTTGTTCCCTTGTCTTCCTCCATCATTTCCTGTCCTCCTACCTGTGATTAAATGTGGCAAAATGCTTTTTGTTGATGTTTTATGAATTGCGACACTTCAGGGTCGTGATTTCACCATCGGAACAGAGCTGATGAAGTTTGAGGAAGATGTCAAGACAGAGCCGGGACCCTTCTACTCTTTCAGCGGTTATACGGTTAGTTTCACACACACTCCATGTCTATTTCTCTCTCTATCGGCATGTTGCCCAAGGCAGACTGTTGTTCCCCTACTGTAAATCTTTTTATATAAAAAGCTCTTACTAAATGATACGCAACCAATTAGCAATGTAAGGGACACCTGCCTACACTTCAGTGGCTCTTCTGGCAGTTTGAGATCATAGCTCCCCCTGTTGGAAAGTCTCCAGGCTGTAATTCGTCTCTAGTGTTTAATGTGGAGGAGAGAACCGTAGGTGTTGAGCGGAGAGAGCAGCATATACTCTTCGGCTGCTTTTTGACTTCCTGCCAAACTGCCCGTGGATACGGAAAGGAATATTTTTTACCTAAGATGAGCTCTTGTCCAAATGAGACGCTCCTGAAAGCTGGTCTGACTCACCCTCTGATCTGTCTCTTCCAGTTTTCCTTTGATAAAGCTCATGAGACCAACGTTCTGTTCCACGTAAGAGACAAATACATGGGAAAGAAGATCGACAGCAGTCTTAGCGGTAATCGCTTTTGCATGCTTTTCATCATTTGCTCACCCTCATGTCATTCCAAACCCGCATTACTCTTTCTTCTGTGGAACATAAAATAAGTTAGTTTGAAGAATGTGCTGATTGCTCTTGCAGTGGACTTGCAATGAATGGGAACCGAAGTTTTTAAGCTTCAAAAATGGACAAAAATTAAAGGGTTAGTTCACCCAAAAATGAAAATAAATTCTGTCATTCCTCGTGTTGTTCGAAACCCGTAAGACCTTCATTCATCTTCGGAATACAATTTAAGATATTTTTGATGAAATATGAGGGCTCTCTGACCCTCCCATAGACAGCAAGGTAACTACCACGTTTAAGGTCCAGAAAAGTACCAAGATGATCGACAAAGTAGTCCGTGTGACATCAGTGTTTCAACTGTAAAGTTGAGCATGTGGCGGCGCTGGCCCAGATCCGGCGTAATGACGTCATCACACCAGATCTGGGTCAGCGCCGGCACCGCCACACGCTCACGTCATGGTACTGTCGTGAACGCGCGTCCAAAGTAGCGTAGAGATGAAAATGTGGAATAAAGTCGTTATTTTTGTTTTCTCTGCTCAAAGAAGTATTCTCGTAGCTTCGTAACTTTACAGTTGAACCACTGATGTCACACGGACTACTTTGTCGATCATCTTGGTACTTTTCTGGACCTTAAACGTGGTAGTTACCTTGCTGTCTATGGGAGGGTCAGAGAGCCCTCATATTTCATCAAAAATATCTTAAATTGTGTTCCGAAGATGAACGAAGGTCTTACGGGTTTCGAACAACACGAGGGTGAGTAATGACAGAATTCTCATTTTTGGGTGAACTAACCCTTTAAGGAATCAAATGATCTGATTCTCATGTTAAACTCAGCGACATGTTGAACTTGAGAATCCAATCAATTCAGTTTGTGAATGATCATTTGGACTGGTTTTGTGAATCAGATCCACTGATTTGTTGAAAAGATTTGACTTAAAAGAATGATTCATTCACAACGTAAATTTAGTTGTTTCTCACTCAAAGCCATTAAATGAGATTAGAAGTCTTGAATATAGCACACGAGTCATATGAAATATGGTGCTTTTGCATCTTTTTTTTGAAGCTTGTAAGGGGCAGTCCTTATTCATTGTTATTACATTACATTAAGTTACCTTGCTGTCTATGGGAGGGTCAGAGAGCCCTCAGATTTCATCAAAAATATCTTAAATTGTGTTCCGAAGATGAACGAAGGTCTTACGGGTTTCGAACAACACGAGGGTGAGTAATGACAGAATTCTCATTTTTGGGTGAACTAACCCTTTAAGGAATCAAATGATCTGATTCTCATGTTAAACTCAGCGACATGTTGAACTTGAGAATCCAATCAATTCAGTTTGTGAATGATCATTTGGACTGGTTTTGTGAATCAGATCCACTGATTTGTTGAAAAGATTTGACTCAAAAGAATGATTCATTCACAACGTAAATTTAGTTGTTTCTCACTCAAAGCCGTTAAATGAGATTAGAAGTCTTGAATATAGCACACGAGTCATATGAAATATGGTGCTTTTGCATCTTTTTTTGAAGCTTGTAAGGGGCAGTCCTTATTCATTGTTATTACATTACATGCTTCTCATATAACAACTTAAATTCAGTCGTTTCTCACCCAAAGCCATTGAATGACTTTAGAACAGTGGTTCCCAACCCTGGTCCTGGAGGCACCTCAACACTGCTCGTTTTGCATGTCTCCTTAAGTACTTTTCTGGACCTTGAGGTAGTTACCTTGCTGTCTATGGGAGGGTCAGAGAGCCCTCAGATTTCATCAAAAATATCTTAAATTGTGTTCCGAAGATGAACGAAGGTCTTACGGGTTTCGAACAACACGAGGGTGAGTAATGACAGAATTCTCATTTTTGGGTGAACTAACCCTTTAAGGAATCAAATGATCTGATTCTCATGTTAAACTCAGCGACATGTTGAACTTGAGAATCCAATCAATTCAGTTTGTGAATGATCATTTGGACTGGTTTTGTGAATCAGATCCACTGATTTGTTGAAAAGATTTGACTCAAAAGAATGATTCATTCACAACGTAAATTTAGTTGTTTCTCACTCAAAGCCGTTAAATGAGATTAGAAGTCTTGAATATAGCACACGAGTCATATGAAATATGGTGCTTTTGCATCTTTTTTTTGAAGCTTGTAAGGGGCAGTCCTTATTCATTGTTATTACATTACATGCTTCTCATATAACAACTTAAATTCAGTCGTTTCTCACCCAAAGCCATTGAATGACTTTAGAACAGTGGTTCCCAACCCTGGTCCTGGAGGCACCTCAACACTGCTCGTTTTGCATGTCTCCTTAATCAAACACACCTGATTCAGGTCATCAGCTCATTAGTAGAGACTCCTGAAATTGGTGTGTCAGAGAAAGGAAATATGTGCAGTGTTGGGGTGCCTCCAGGACCAGGGTTGGGAACCACTGCTTTTTATTTATATTATTTACTTATTTATTTATATGATTTATTTTATTATATCATTTACTTATTGCATTATTTATGCAAAAAAGCCTTTAAAATTAAAATAAATTCTTACAGGTTTGAACCAAAATGAGTAAACAATGACAGAAAATGTAGACTGATTTTGTGAATCGGATCCATTGATTCATTCAAAAGATTTGACAAAAAAATTATTCATTTTCCAATTGTGCTTCAGTACTTCACATATAACAACTTAAATTCAGTTGTTTCCTCACTCAAAGCCAATGTTTGATTTTATTTATATTTATGTAAAATGCTCTGTTTTTGTTTATATTATGTAAAAAATATTTATGACATTTTATTTTATTATTTACAGTACTTTATTTTATTTTTTACAGTACATATTATTTGTGCAGAACATTTCCTACAGGTTTAGATATAAACTATACCTTTAAAAGACAGAAAATGTAGACTGATTTTGTGAATCGGATCCATTGATTCATTCAAAAGATTTGACAAAAAAATTATTCATTTTCCAATTGTGCTTCAGTACTTCACATATAACAACTTAAATTCAGTTGTTTCCTCACTCAAAGCCAATGTTTGATTTTATTTATATTTATGTAAAATGCTCTGTTTTTGTTTATATTATGTAAAAAATATTTATGACATTTTATTTTATTATTTACAGTACTTTATTTTATTTTTTACAGTACATATTATTTGTGCAAAACATTTCCTACAGGTTTAGATATAAACTATACCTTTAAAACTTTTTTTTTAAGCAAGTTCCTCTGGTGGTTTTACTCTGGGTTTGTCTTTCAGTCACTCTGTATAACTGCTCTCTGGGACGTGAAGACTGCAGCCTGTGTACGAACGCCGACCCCAAATATCAGTGTGTGTGGTGCACGCAGTCCAGCTCGTGCGTGTACGACCAGCTCTGTGCCTCGAAAGAGCCGGAGGAGTGTCCCGACCCCCAGATCACTGACGTGAGTCTCCGCTGATGAGCCGAAACAAGCCAATGACCCTAAAACTCTGGGTTTTATGAAACATTTTCTAAATTAATGTTGTGATTTTGACAATCCTCAATACTCAAAACACAGCCCGAGAAAGTTCAAGCAATAATTTATAACTTTTCTTGTTCTCCTTTCCGGTTTTCACAAATTGTTCGAGTAAAAATCAGTAGAAACCTCAGGTCATGTTCTACTCACATGGCTGAATTACTGCTGGGAATACATTAGCTTGTTTAGAAATATTCATCTTTTTCTGTTGTTTTAGTGAGACTGGTCATCTCTGTGGTCTTTTCTCCCTGATTCAGGTGTTTTTATAATGTATTTCAGATCACACCGAGATTCGGGCCGCTGAAAGGAGGAATAGCTGTCACTATTAAGGGCTCGAACCTTGGCATTCAGAAGGATGACATTAAAAACATCACAGTGGCTGGAGTGCCGTGCAAACACCTGCGGGAACGGTACTCCGTCTCAACCAGGTAACAACACACACAAAAGCTGAGCCGCTTCACATGAATAGGTATATATGCATATTATTTTTTTCAACAAGTGCTCAGTAAATTGAGGTGCTTAAACTTCAGATATTGTTTGTTAGTCTCACGAGACAAATAAATAGCAAATATTAAATTATCAGTATACTTGTCATTTCATATGAAGATTGCACATTTTGTAACCTTGTTACAGAAAATACAGTTTACACCAGTGTTAATTTTGACAGCAAATTTTGATTTAGTTTTAGTCATAGTCTTTTGACTAAAATGCCATTTAGTTTTAGTCATATTTTAGTCATCTGAATTGTTATTAGTTTTAGTCAACTAAATCTACAGTAAATTTAGTCAGCTAAAATTTAATGGGTTTAGTTACAGTGCATTTATTAAGCGTTTCTCTAAAATTTCCAAACTCATTATATAGGTTTGATATTAAGGTTTTATCATGATAGACACCGATTTAACTGCGGTGACACACAACTTGCCTTTATGTTAAAATTAAATAAAACCACTTCTCATAAAGAACAAGAACATGGTCTTCTTTTTAATGAAATGCCAATGATTATATAGGCTAATTATGCATTCTTTATAGCAACTTGTTTACCATATTCTTCGTTCTTTCAAGCAGACATATGTATTTCTATAAATAAATTTAGATTCATCTTTAGGGCTACTAAAGTTTTTCAGTCAAGAGGAGTGAGTGACTTTCTGTCTTTCTGTTGTTGCTTGGTTAACATCAATGACTCGGACAATAGCAACTAAATAAGGCTGCTGTCCCTTTAAAACTGAATGCGCAGCTGCAAATGGATGCAATGTACTGATACACGTTCTCCCTACTGTTTACGTTCACTTAAGACGTAATAAACTATGTTTACGCGAATACTCGTCAAAACAGACCATTCAACATCATTTTGTGTGTAATTCTCCGTTCATGAGACGCGAGAGAGTACTCGCGCGCTGTGAGAGGCGCTTTCTGTGTGTGTATGCTTCAGTGTCTGCGCTCAGAAAACCGGACCGAATCGAGTTCTCTCTTACGTCGTCAGATTTATCCATATGTCTGCTCTTCTCTTACTCCCACATATTGACATTTTTTTACGTTTTATGCGACGTGCAGCAAGTGTACGTTAGCTTATATCCCACCGGTTTATATGTAAGCATCTAACCTTCGAACCACACAGCAGATTTGTTCTGAATTGAATCTCTTCCCAAATCGTCCCTCCCTAACATTTTCGTCTCTTTTTTTTATTCGTTGACGAAAATGTCAATAGATTTACGTCATAGTTTTAGTTCATTATCGTCTCGTTGTCGTCGGTAAAAAAAATGACGTTGATAAATTATGACGAAAATTATTCGTCAACTAAATTAACACACCACGATTGGTCATGTTGTTGCAGTAAACATAATAATAAATACATAATATATATATAACAAACCTCAAAATTAAAAAGATTGTTTATACAAATATAAAATATTAAAATACATAGTATTATATAATACAATTAATAAAATGTTTTTACATAAATAAAAAGATTAGCTTGTTTGGGACCTTACATTGATTTATACTTATTGATAAACGTACCCTAAAAAATAAAATAAAATCCAGTCTACATTAAAATATTTATAAAAATTTTGAGATTGTATATTTTTAATTGTTATAGAAAGTCGAAACTGTCTGACCTCTGAGGTGGGTCAGGCCAAAATCACTATTTTACTGAGGGATATAAACGTTTGATGTGTTTAAAACTAGTTTTATGTTATATAATAGTTTATCTGTCATATCTAATAAAAAAAAACATGGGATTTGTGCTTGTAATGCTTTTAAAAATGCTGAGCATAGCTTTAATCCTGTGTGACTTCATGGTCTCTATATTTGAGTGTTTGGCGGCTCGGATACAGGAATAACTAAACAAGTTCGGTTACTGCAATACATCACAACATTTTTCATAAACTCTCACAAAGTGTGTTTGGTGCTGAACGAGAGCTCTCATTAAATGAAATCCCTGCTGGACTTTTCGCGTGCAGATCTCAGTGGTACCAAATGGCCTGGTTTTCAGCAAATGTCCTGTTCAAGAAATCTGGTTCAGTCAAAGCTTAATTAAAAAAGAATTACCCAGAATTCAAACATGTAAAAATGCCCCCAAGTATGATCCAAATAATGCCTTTTAGAATCTGCTCAAGGCGTCCTATTGTGCTTGAAATATTAAGCATGCACGAGTTTGTCTTTGCGGTTCCTCTTGTAGAACAACGTTAGATTTGTACAGGTTTGAAATATAGAGCGTGCTGTGTGGATTCGGAGCTTTTCTCACAGGCAATGTCAGGCTTGGCTGAGTCAGTGATTCTACATCAGGGTTTATCAGCTCTGTTGTGAGCGTTCTGCCTGACTGAGTGTTTGTCTGGCTGCTAACAAGTTTGAAAAGGATCTTTCACAGGAGAGTTTGGCTTCAGAATGGTAAATAAGCTTGTGGAGAGATCGCTGTCAGAAGAGTCTGTCTGGGGAGGTTGATGTCCAGGTTTGGGGGTAACAGAGGATTGGTTTTCTGATTTCGGCCGTTATGAATCTGGAATCTGTGGGCTCATCTGTTCAGCACTGATGCTTTGGGTGTCTGGGTGGGAAAAGTTGGTCCAGCACTAATGAATCTTGTCTTCTGCACATTTTGACCTGATCTAGAATCCATTAGGGTTAAAGGAACGTTCCGGGTTGAATATAGCTTAAGCTTTATGGACCGCATCTGTGGCATGCTGTGTGCAGAAAATTATTCCACCTTGTGCTTCAGTTTGCAGAAACTATAAGATAGTCATTCAAAGAACATAGAATATTTTAATGCATTTTTAAAAGTATTAACTTACTATTTTATTTATATTATTTACACACACACACACACACACACACACATATATAATAATAATAACACGTAAATAATAATACAATTAAATTATTAATTTATTTTTATTTATATATATATATATATATACAATAACAGTTCTATTTGTGTATATGCATTTATTTATATGTATTAAAATATTAAATATGTGTTAAAATAATATATAATATTTTTTTTAAATAAATTTGTAAATGTATTTACAACTTTATTTATATTGTTTGTTAAAACATTAAATTAGTTTTAATATTCTATTAATATTATTTGAACACACACATAGATATATGTAAATAATATAAATAATATAATGCAAGTAAATTAATAATTAGTTTTATGAATGTCTAAATGTATTTATAATTTGTGTATACATTTATATTATGTAAAAACATAGAATTATTTGTGTATATGTATTTATATGTAAATAATAATAATACAATTTTATATATATAAGATTTGGAATTTTATTTAGTAGATGTCAATAAATAATATGAATTAAGTGTGTGTGTGTATATGTGTGTGTGTGTGTGTGTGTATGTATGTATATATATATATATATATATATCTAGGTGTATTTATTTAGATTTTTAAGAAATTTATTTTCTATTTATATTATTTACATTCAAAATGAATTAAAACAAACAAAAGTTCGCAGTTCTACAAAAGGCAAGTGTAATTTCAGTTTGTAAAAAGTGATTTTCTTGCTTATGAACATTGCAATACAATATAAATAGTATTTTGTGGTACTCAAAAGCATGTGACAGATGTTGGTAGAACTTGAGTGTCTGGGTCTTTAGTTAAAGCAGTTTTCGTGTGTTTGTCTGGCAGTGTGGTGTGTGAAATCGGCCCGGCGAAACTGTACAAAACCGGAGAGGTGGAAATCGAGGTGGGCAGAGGAAAGAAAGGCGTATCCACAAAAACGGTCCGCTTCACCTACAGGGTAAGTCACGATTCTGCATTTCCCAGCATGCACTGCACACACAATAATTCAGTGAAACTCTGAAGGGCTGGCGCTGTGAGTGGTTGGTTCCACAGGACCTTCTCTCTGCGTGTGTTATGTAATGCTGGGCTGTTTTGTGTGTGGCCACCGGGCACACGCTCCTGCAGGCCTAATGATTATCAGCCTGCTGACGGCTTTAGCAGACTTTATTGCATCAGTTTTTCAGGGAGCTAGGCTGTCACAGTCGCTCCCACAGGTGTTTGTTCAGCAGACGGACGGCTCTCGGACAGCGCGCAGAGGCATTTCCTGGGATTATGTCATCATTACAATAAGATAGTAATGCATAGGGCGTCTTTGTCATTGCTGGGTACTTGCAGTTCTTGTGCACAATTATTACTGTAATATTACAATTTATATTAATTATTACTTATATTATTTATGTAGTACATACAATATATATATATATGTATGGCCTATTTTGTGTCATTTATGTAATTTAATGAATGTTTTTATTAAATTTATAAAAATATATAATGTTGTGATATTTAATTTTGTAATATTAACTTATATAACATGAGTTATAAATATTATATATAGTCTTCCGTATTCAATTTAATATTTACTTATACTAATGTAAAAACATTACTTATGTATTTTGAATAATTAATGTAATTATTAAATTAATAAAAATGATGTAATAAAATGTTGTTTATTTTATAATATAATATATATATATATATGTGTGTATATATATATATATATATGTGTGTGTGTGTATATATATATATATATATATATATATGTGTGTGTGTGTATATATATATATATATATATATATATATATATATGGCCTATATTTATGTAATTTAATGAATGTTTAATTAATGTAATTCAATTAATGTAATTATTAAATCAATAAAAATGTTGTAATAAAATGTTGTTTATTTTATTATATATATATGTGTGTGTATGTGTATAATATGTGTGTGTGTGTGTGTGTGTATATATATATATAATAAAATAAACAACATTTTTATTCATTTAATAATTGCATTAATTGAATTACATTAATTATTCAAAATACAAAATACACACATTATATATGTATATATAATTTAACATAACTTTTATGGTTTAAACAAAGAGAGTGAGATACACACCTCAGCATTATATAAACAATAGACAATAGTTTTATTTAAATGTAAAAGAAATAGTTATGTAATTTACCTTTTATTTTATTTCTATTATTTACTGAGTTTCTATTATTTATATAAATAATATTGTACAAAAACATATAGGTTTAATTAAACTTATATAATACTATATATGCATATTCCATAAGGAAAATATATATATATTCCATAAACAAATATAAGAAATTAAGTGTGAAATGTGAAGATGAATGAAAAGTGTCAATTCGCGTAATTACATTTCGATCTGTGAATCAGATTGCCTTTGCGCGTTGTTTTTGCACCGTTGAGCCTTACAGCCAATCACACACGTTTCTGTTGAGTTTATGAATGCAATGGCCAATCAGTGACGTTTAGATTAGTCAGTGCTGAAAACTCCAGCGGTGCGTCCAAAATCGCGTACTTTCTGAGTAGGTACTACATTTAATTAGAATTTAAATCACAACCGTTAAAAAGGTACGTTCTACACAGTATAGTAATTTGGGTAGAATGAATGAAATTCAGACGTACTACGTCCGCCATGTTGGTACTGTCACATGACCTACCTGCGTCAGTTGCGTTGCTTCACTGCCATTCAAAAATCCTCTCCCGTGGCCTCATGGGAAAGTAAAGTGTCCATCGTTTGCGCACTTTAGAATCTGAGCAGAAGAAGTAGGTCCTCCGGGTACTTTTCACCTACTGTTTTTCGAATACTGTGAATTTGGACATACTACTTGCCTCTCAAACTGTTTTTCGCATACTATATAGTAGGGAAGTATGCGATTTCGGACGCAGTGCACTGTTTTGTTGAGCGCATACGCTCACTGACTGAATTCTCAGTGTTGCCAGGTCCGCAGTTTTCCTGTGCAATTGGGCTACTTTAACACTATTGCTGGGTTGCATTTCATGTCTGAAAGTTGAAGCGACCCCAATAAAGTGATATTTAGACCCTGGAATGCAAATACGAAAAACCTGGCAACCCTGTGAATTCTGTGCGTTCACGACATGAGTTCCCTCATCATAAACTACAAAATGCAGATACGAATACATTAATTCCAAAAACCGTGTATTTGACCCCCCGGAACACGATTTGTATCGATGTACCCCCACCCCGAAAAGTGATTGGGCTTGTTTTGGGTTAGTTTTGAGTAGCAGTTGGGTGGGTTTTGTTGTGAAAACCTTGCAACCCTGTGAGGTCGCGATGCAAATTCCATTATCATAAACAACGAACTGCAGATACGAATAGATTCATTTTGCCGCTCCGGTGATTATAACGGTTGTTTTTGCATAACGTAAGCTAGACTAGAACTAGACTAACGTCATGGACCGACATGTTTGTCTGTGTAGCTAGAATATGAAGTATCGTCTTAATTTACAGAAGTGACGTTTACACAGTCTCTCTCTTTCTCAGTTTGTAGAGCGATCCAAGCACAAAAACGACACCGTGATCATGTTCCTGTCACCTGTGGTCAACGAGTCTCAGTTCTTCAGGACTTACGTGCAGCTCGATAACCTCCAGACGGAGCTGACGCCGTTTGAGTATCACCCCGACCCTACATTCGATCGCCTCAGCAAGACAGATATCACTGAGAACAGCATGATCATCGTCACTGTGAGTATCTGCTCGAAATGTCATTCATGCGGGGGTTTCATGCTCGTCAACGCTTTTTTGGTGTGCCTCAGGGTCGTGGCTTTTCTAAAGCGATGACGGCGAAGGAGGCGCAGGCGTTTGTGGGAGACGCCCCGTGTAATGTAAACACGTTACAGGATGATAAATTATTCCTGGACCCGCCCTCAACCACACCCAGTGCTCGATCCAAGAGACAGAGGAGAGACACCGGCTCCGACCCGCTGGACCTGGTGGTGAGAGAACAATATCCTTCCATTCATTCTACCCTCCTTCAAGCCTCATATTTATTCATCCTTTCACATATTTATTGGTTTCTATTTTTTTTTTTAATAAATAGTTATTATTGAATATACTTTTTTACTTCCAGAGAAATAAATGTGTGTGTGTGTGTATATGTATAATTTATATATCCATCAGTCCATCTATCACTTATCTGTCTGTTCACTTATTCATCTATTTATCCATCCATCATTTATTTATATTAATTTATATAATTATTTATCCATCCATCCTTCATGTATTTATATTTGATCATTTATTTATAACAAAAAATTATTTGCACCTATTTATCTATGCATCTATCTTAAAATTAAAAATATTTTAGTATTTTTTAAACTAAAATAAAGTAAAAAATTATACATTATTTTATATTTTGTGTATATATATATATATATATATACACACACATCCATTTATCTTTCTATTCACTTATTAATTCATTAAATATATTTTTTTTTACATTTTTAATTTATATTCACCAGTCCATCACTTGTCTGTCTATCCACTTATTCATCTATTTATCCCTCCATCCACCCATCATTCATCCACCTATTTATATTTATTTGTTTATTTATATTAATTATATATCCATCTGTACATTTACCTATTTATCTATTCATTCATTCACTTATTTATTTGTTTGCTTGAATATTTATTTTTACATTTATTTATTGTTCTATAATTTCTCCTATTTATTTATACATTTATTTATTGATCTATGTGGATATCTTGATATTGATATCCACACATATGTTGATTTCTTTATCATCCTCATTTATTTATTTGTTTGGTTATATATAAATTCATGTATCCTCCAACACATATTTTTCATTCATCCATTCATTCATTCATTCATTCATTCATTCATTCATTCATTCATTCAATTAATAATTTATGTATGTATTCATTCAATTAATAATTTATTTATTTATCCATACATCTGCCCATTTATTTATTTATCTAATCATCTTTCCATCATCCACATATTCATATATTTATCTATCCATCCACACATCCGTTTATCCATCCATTAGTTTTTTTCAGTCATCCACTTTTATCTATTCATTCATTCATCCATCCCCCCCCTAACGCAGTCTGTCTCTCTCTCTCTCTCTCTCTCTCTCTCTCTCTCAGATTAAGTTTGGCAATGGCGAGTGGTTAGTCGGCTCAGTTCGGTACGAGAGGAAGTACAATCTCCCGCTGCCCATCATCATCCCAGCGGTGGTCGTTCCCATGCTGCTGATTATCGCCATCTCCGTCGTCTGCTACAGGTTAAAAAGAAGAACTGCACTTCCCACAATGCCCTTGATCTGTTGGTCTGAGTGAAGGTTTCATGTAATGAATTTGTGAATTCATCTAATCATGTGTGTGTAGGAGGAAGAGCCAGCAGGCAGAGCGAGAGTACGAGAAAGTGAAGCATCAGCTGGAGAATCTGGAGGAGAGTGTTCGTGACCGCTGCAAAAAAGAGTTCACAGGTCACATGTGCACGCATAATCCCGTTACCATGGCAGCAGGGGTGTTTTGAGCATGGCAAAAGATGATTTAAGACTCTACTCTAAAACTAGTTGACCTCACTAATTTACTAGTTGGTTGTTGGATGACTGCCATCACTCATTCCTAGATCGATTATCTATCTTTCTACTTATTTTTTATTTATTAGTCATTTATCTGTCCTTTAACATTTATTTCTGTATTTATTAATTAATTATTATTTATTAATAATGAAGTAATCAATACATATTAATTATTAATACATATTAATTTATTGATTAATCAATTGTTTATCTATTATTTATTTATTATTCCTTCATTCATCAACCTGTTATTTATTTATGAATTTATCATTTAATCTACTGTTTATATATCTTTCCACATATTTTAATTTATTGGTTATCTATCTGACCATATATTTATTTATTTATATATATATCTATCCATCCACTTATTTATTTATCAATTAATCTATTGTTTTCCTATCTTTACAAATATTTTTTTAATTGACAGTCACTTATCGGTCCATTCACATTTTTTATCTATTTATTTATTACTTTTTATTTTTCAATTAATCCATTATTTATCTATCCTTCTACCCTTTTTTTTTCTTTTTTTTTAAAAATCCATCAGTGCATGGTATTTGCAGTGTTTTTTTTGTGTGTGATTTTGTTGTGTGAATTTATTCAATACGGAACAATATAAATTATTGAGAAATACGTGTATAGTATTTAGTATTTTACATTTTTTTATTAATAATAAAATAATTAAAACATTTTTTTTTTTACTAAGAATATACAAACAGGAATGAGAACATAAAAACACGTATCAATTCAATCCTCCCTCCCTCACTCACTCAAAAAAGTGTGGTTTTGATACGGACAAATGAAAACAATCTGCACATCTGGGATCTTGAGCTGGTCTTTAATTGTCAATCTGGTCTTTAAAACGCAATCTCAGAACTGTCTGCATAAATTTACTTGGATTTGCAGTGTCGAGTTTGAAGCAAGCACGTCATTAACGTTGGACGTGTCATTTCCGGTGCAGATCTGATGATCGAAATGGAGGACCACACTAACGACATCAGCGAGGGCCGGATCCCGTTCCTGGACTACAAGACCTACACCGACCGCGTCTTCTTCCTGCCCTCGAAGGATGGGGCCAACGACGTCATGATCACCGGCAAACTGGACATCCCAGAATCCCGCAGGGCTACGGTCACCCAGGCGCTGAACCAGTTCTCCAACCTGCTCAACAGCAAAACTTTCCTCATCAATGTATGAAACACACACACAAACTGTAGTTATGATCCATTTAAAGACTCCTCACCTACTCGATTTAAACCATTCTGTGCGGTTAATAGCGGGAAAGGTCAGTAAATTAATATTTGACGATAATTGTCGAAGGTTTCTCATCAGGAACAACACACATCGGTGATGAAGCCTTTAGACATTCGCTCAATTATACCGAATGACACTAAAACGGCCCCAGAGGACTCGATCAGCTCCTGCGCTCTCATTAAAGTCTTTTATATTCATGGCACAAACACAATTAAACATTAACATCTAATGACACACATGCATACACATAAACAAGCACACGTCAGTGTTTTAAGTCTGGCCTGTAATTATCTCCCCAGTGTTTATATCGTTACCCTCCACATACAAAAGTCCATCATACAGACAGTAATAAACATAATAAACATTAGAATATAACAAGATGTAAATCTGAATGCTGCACACTTTTAATCACACAGGGAAGTCGATTTGATTTAATTAGCGTTTGTAAACCGTAATCTCTCTGTGTGAAGTTTATCAGAACGCTGGAGGGCCGTCCGGATTTTAACGCCAGGGCCAAAGTGTATTTCGCGTCTCTGCTGACCGTAGCGCTTCACGGTAAGCTGGAGTATTACACAGACATCATGAGGACGCTTCTGCTGGGGCTCATGGAGGATTACGTTCACAGCAAGAACCCTAAACTGCTGCTCCGCAGGTGAGATGCCGTCTGACGCTGCATGCTAAGTCTGATGCATATTGTACAACAATGGCAACATTTTTCAAAATTCGTAGTCTGCAGTCTGATTGGCTGGCTTTACGCAACTTCTGGAAGCCAGGTGTTATGAGTTAGTCAGGAACAGTGTTATTTTAGTTGTATTTACATACTTGTGCAGTATTTATTAATATTCAGAATTTGTTTTTATAATTTCAGTTTTCACACGTCTCTATTTTGCTTTAAAAAATTAAGCTTACTTTTGAAGCCATAAAATAATGAAGATGGGAGAAAAATATAAATAATGTTTATCTTGATCCTAACAATAGACTTTTTAAAATTATTTTGTAATATATATTATGATTATTATTAGTATTATTATTTAATTTTAAGGTCATTAGAATAGATTCTCTTTATTATAATAGTGATTTT